AACTATTTTATTAAATTTGATAAATTTTTTTTATTTTAATTTTATATAATTTTAAAATTAAAATAAAAAAATTTTTAGCAAATTTGATTAAATAGTTGTTGAATTATTTAAATTTAAAAATTAAAAAAATTTCACTAAAAATGATTTGTTCCTTTTTTACTGACTCACCCCCATATATAGAGTAGCACTATAGTACTATAGTACTATAATAATATTTCTTTTTTTTATAATTAGAAAAAATTCAAATTATATAATATTTATAAAAAAAAAACTAATATTTTAAACCAAAGATATTAAGATTTTTTTTAAAAAAATCCAAATATTTTAATTCAAAATTTAATATAAAACAATATATATTTTTGCACAATGTTTACACTATATACTAAACTTAATAACATTAAAATAAATATTATATTTGTTTGAATACTGAATTATTAATTTGATTATGAATTCTAATTTTTATTTATTGTATATATAAATATACTAGATAGGTTTTTTCATAAGTACTATATATATATATATACATAATATTGCACAAATAGTTTAAACATGATAATTGGTCAGGTATACAATTTTGTTAAACAGTATGTATAATATTATTTTATTTAAAATTTAAATTTTCATAATAATATCTTTAAAATTAATTAATTTTAAAAATAAATATAAAATGTATTAAGAATTATTTGGATGTAATTTAAATAGACTTGATTTTAAAATATTAATTTTTATAAAAAAATAATAAGTTATTATTATTAAATTTTTTCAAGAAAATTTGCCTGGAAATGATCTATGGATTAAGAGATAAATTTTGTTAGTTTGTTCTCAAAAGAGAATATAGTTGTTTCAAAATTTTTCAAATCGATTAGTTGGAAAGTTGTCAACTAATTGGTTTTCCAACTAATGATTTGGATCACTACCTAAAAGTACCCTTTCAAAAAGTGTCCACAATAATATGACACCTCACAAAGTTTTATTAAAGATAACAATCCAGTAAACGAATGTCGATGGAATGATTTCACGATTTATTAAGTTTTGGTAATTAACTTTTAGTAATTATACAAAGAAAAGCAATATTTAAAATTTTTACGATATAGAATTTTTATACTATACATTAACACATTACATAAATTATATAAATGTAAAATCCAATTACTATAATGTGGTCTATAATGATGTAATTTACAATTTAGTAGTATACGTAGCAATAGTCCATATTGCTAAATATCACACTATAATAATCTTGTACGTCGTGTGACATAGAACCTACTTTATCTCTTAATATGAGAATATTTGGCATGAAAATTTATACTAATATGCAATGGGGAGAATTGTACGTGTAAGAAATAAATATTAGAAAAGTATTATAACCGGTTGTTAAATACGACGTGTCTTTTAGATGTCACGTCTTTTTAGATTATATTGTTCATAGAAATTACATGTTACCGTGCTTACGGAGCTTTGAAGTTCAAATTTTTGCAATAATTATATCACAATTTCGAGCTATCCGTTTCCAAAAATATTAGGCAAACGACTGAGATAAGTTTTTTTTTTAGATTTTATAGTATCAGTCTGAGAAATATTCTCTGGAAGATTTACTGTTACCGGATTAAGTGTTTGGAGTACGTAATTTTCGCGCGCTGAAGCATTAGAATTACTAGATAATCCTTGCATTGTCTGTAGTGGAAGTGTAGGAGGAGTGTAGTAGCAACATGGGAGGAATACGGCTGCTCTGCGATTGGTTCCAAAAATAAGAAATAAAAGTACACCACTATACAGTATAAAAAATCGCATAGCTTATTAGTAAGGGTTCCAAAGTAAACTTGTCTTAAAATAGAAACTCACAGTAATGCAGTAGAAAATGCCAATATATATTGTGTTGTAGGTTTGCTTTGATTATATATTATAAATCGTGGGATGAGTGTTGCTAAAAGAAAGATAATGATAGTAGAGCTAAATACGAATAAACGAACAGAGTGACCTAGTCTTATCGCGGTGGATCTATTTTGATGAGAAGAAAAAGTTCGCCATCGTTTCCATAAAATAAAACCAGTGTGACCTAATATACAATATATTAACAACTATATCAATAAACAAAAATAAACAAAGCTAATACAAAAATATATAATAGGCAGTTATCTACTAACATGACATAGGTATTGAGAGCACGGTTATAACCGTATTAGGTAACACGTATCCATAGAATGTTCTATTATCAAATACAGGTATGCACATATATAAAGAAACCATGGTACCAAAGCTATCAGTGGTTGCGTCTTCTATAATGCAAACAACCCAAAAACATATAGAGTACAGCCAAATAGTTCCTGATAGATAGTAAAGACACTTTTGTTCAATTCTTAAATCTCCTCGGACCAATGCGTACCATAAATAAAAAGCTTTAAATTGAATGATATGAGAATCCATAAGATAGCAAATAAAATAATAAGACAATATTATCCCTTACACCGCCTTATTGTCATAATGTAGTTTCCACATACTGCAATATAGACAATGATCTTATATAATAATATATGAATCATAAGAGTTACCTGCGAGACGGTGCAAAGGACAGTATGCATCCTACCTAATATCAAAGGAAATATGTGCGTCGGAAAGAAGAAAAATGAAGTAATTTTTTGACATACTATACATAGTAATGAATGAGCACCTAAAGTACTTAAATCATCACCCAATATTATTATAGGGATCAACCCAATTGAATCAAAAATTAACGCAGAAATGAATAATTGGAGTAATGTCGCGTGCGCAAATTGAGGAGTTGACGTTAATAAGGCAAAGACAAGTACTCCTAAAAGAAGGATACTAGAGAATTGCAACACTATAAAAATTATAGTACTTAATTGATATGATGGCATCGTGCAAATTGCGAATGTCTTAAAAGAGACGGATAATCTTCTAGGATATCCAAATTTCTAACCCATTAGTAGACATGCTATTTAAACAAACTTTAACAGGTTATAATTCCAAATTACGTAACTCAATGCTTTCTAGGAATGATGCCATGTTACATTCGACAGTCCAATTGTTTTCCATGTTGGGAAATTCCATATTCGAAACACTGATAACGCTAACGCTATTTATACAAGGTCCACCAATTAGATTACGAGATTCGTATAGCCTCAGATATAAGACTATCATTATATAAACAATAATGCAGCATTTTAAATTTCCGAGTACAGTACTAATGTAACTAATGTACACGGCACGATAATATGTTACGATTTATTCTTAATTTCCGTTATTTTATTGACATAATGAATTCACCGAGTTAAACTATAATTCCCCGTAATAGTATAAAACGATGCCAAGGTTTATACAATCAAGTCGTATTCAATAGTTTAACCTCTTAAAATTGTTTATATTTTTGACCGAAATATGTTACTCATGAACCAGAAAATTTTTAATTCCTATAATTAAACTTTATTGGCTAATTTTTTATATAATCAATTAGGGATTTGCTAATTTAATCTTTTTTTTTTTTTAGTGATTTTAACGCCATAGTTGCTATATCTCAAAAACTAGTCAAGTAATTAGTATTTGACACTAAGTAAAAATGCAGCGTCCCAAAAACCTTAATCCTAATCTAAATATAATTTCTAACCTTCAATATTATTTCTAATTTCTCTAAAATTTAATAACATGTATGTGTTGAGCACTACTGACGTGATTTAAAATTATTGTTATTTAGCTTATTTTATATACATATTAAATGCCAAATTCTGTAACTATTATAGCATAAACATTAAATTTTATAGGTTTTTATTTTTTTAAAAAATCATAAATTAAGCATTTCTTTGATATAAGGAATTTTTATACGTATAATCTTAATATGAATATAATTATATAGATAAATAAGTCAGTTCTTAGCTTTATTTTTAGTCAACACGTATGTATATGCGCATATTTGAATGCTTTTGGTTTTTTTTTATTAAAATTTATTCGTGTAAATCGATTAACTAACATAGGCACACAAATTCAATTGCCAAGAATTATCCTTTGTATAATAATTAGTTGAACTAGACTTATATTGGTAATAGCTACAAACTTATACAATAAATGCATGCAGGTGTTTCACACTGTATAATAAAAAAGTAGAATTCCTAAGAGATACAGAAAAGAGAATAATTGAATTTATGCACGTTACTCTGATTATACCGACAGCTGGTTTAACCGAAAATTGGTTTAACCGACAATTGGTTATATCAACAGTTTTTTTTTTTTTAGAAATACTATCATAAAATCTCACTGGTCATACTGATAACCATAAAAAACATTAACTATTTTGGTGTAAAAAATTATTTAAATTGGTTTTTTTTTTGCTGGTTATAATGACAATTTACTACTAATAATTATTAAGCGATTTAAATAAAGTCACTAAATTAAAACTTATAATGATGATAAGTATAATTCTTATGCGCAATATTTGTTTTTACCAATAATTTTTAACTTTTTAATTTTCAACCGACTTTACTTTGAATATGAGTGTTGCCAAGGGAAAATGAAACTTTGGCTTTCAAATTTATCAGTTGTTATTTACCGTATTCAGCTCTTGAATACATATATGTTATCAATATAAGTTTTTATGAGCTGAATCTGGTAAACAATAAACTTGAAAGCCAAGTCTTGCATATAGGCCTGCACGGACCGGGCGGGCCGGCAAAAGGTTAAATTTTTAGGCCTGTGCAGGTCCTAGTCTTGCAACACTGACGTTTATATTTCAATAATATTAATATTTTAAAAATAAATTCCGGAATTGAGTCTGTGTATCACCTATACTTTGCAATTTAAAGCTAATTTATTTATTTACAAAAAACAAAGCCGCTTGCTAAACCAACACATTTACGTATACAGTATCAATATGTCAAGTAAAAAAGAGATGCTTGTTAATCCGACATCTGGACATCTGGGTACATCGACAATTTTTTTACTACTGGATATAACCAGAGTAACGTATACAAAGCTTTCAATTAAGTTTATGCCAGATTCTTTATCGGAGGTAGTCCCGCATGTATATATAATCCCGGTATGATGAATTAAACCATTTGCTGATCGAATATGGTAAATTTGTGTTTTATTATAACTTTTGACGTATTTTTAACTAGTGTTTAATTTTTTCCTTTCGACTTGTATGACTTTTTGCGCTTTCGGCATAATAATTTCTTGGTACACCAAACGAATTGATATGATATTAATTATATGCTACGTGCAGCATTGTATGTGCGCACATGTATTATTGTACATTTCGACTGATCAAGCTTTCTGACTTTGTCACGTCCCATTTTAGTAACGTTTCAACTCTTATTTAACTTGTATTAAAAAGATAACATCATTATATGCAAAATTAAAACTTTAAATGTCTTAAACTGATTTTGTCTTAATTGTATCATGTATAATATTATGCATATGTGTGATAACTTTCTTCTGGTTAGCAAATCGTTCAATTATATTTAAGAGTGTAACATTAGAAAATAAGAATTAAGATTGTTTCTATCTGAAACAGAAAAGGTGCTTTATACATGATTATTAATTACTATATACAGTACTGACTGGTATATATACGAATAATACGTTTATTTAAAGAAGTCACCTATACTAAGGCCCATTTTTACTTGTTAAATAAAACGATTAAACGTTTTAAAAGCACATTTAGAAAACGAAGAACACTTGATACATGTAACACGTAAAATAGGAGTTAGCATTAAAAAAATTTTATGTCATGATTTATTGTTACATTTTAGCTCTTTATGACCAATTATAAAGCGTTATATTTCTTGCAATTGACCAATTATAAGAAAGTTCATCCCACATTACATAATATACAATGCTAAAATATAATTTATTAGCATACGATAGTATGTTACACTTTATCATAAAATAGGGCGGGACCAATTTGGTTCGATTGGTTTTACCTTACCTTCACCTTCTTCTCCCACTCTCTTAGAGAAATATATATAGGGCTGCGAGACATGTCGGAAAACTTAATATGGTTACGGATTATTTCGGAAATTTTAAAACTCTCATTCCAAGGATGTAATGTAAACCACTGAATCAAATTAGTCTGGCCTAATTGATAATATTTCCTATAAGCAAAATATATTATAATCGGAAATCACAAATTCTTTTTTCTACACCGTATGTGAAAAGGCAAGACTGATTTTGGATCAGAATTAGCCCGGAGAAAGTATAACGATAAGACTGAACAAACATTAAAATGATCTAAAATCTATCATATACTTTAACAGGTTTTGATAAAGGTATGAAAAAGCTTGGTTCGAGTATTAGGGTCTTGCTACGATAATTACGAGTTTGGGATAAATCCAAACTACTCGATCAATTCTATTCGGTGGTTTACGTTACCACCCTTTATCTTCCCCCTTACTATCTTAGTAAAAAAACTTTGGAGGCCTACATATATGATTTTGGCTGGAGTCATAGTGGCAGAACTACAATGATTGTAGAGTCACACTGCCGGGCGGAATTAAGAAGTAAGAATTCTAAAGGTCCGAAAATTTCCGAAAAAGATCATAAACAACAAGCCGATGCTTTCCGATTGAAAAAATTTTACTATATGGGGTCTATGCCTTGAAAATGACGTTATGGAACATAGTATGTCATTTTCAAGGCACAGACCACATATATACCCAAAAATGAAAATAATTATGGATGAGGGCCCAAAATAAAAATTCTTACATATAACGGCCCGAACTATACTAGGAGACTTAAGCTACAAGACTTACATAGTGTCGTCCAGAAAAAAAGGTAGCCGGATTAAAATAATTATGATATCATTAAAATAGCTTTAAGATGCAATTAATTTTTTTACACGAAAAAATTAAAGGCATTATTATTCACGAATCTCGTTAGCAAAACTTGTGACTTTACGAATTGATTAAAAAGGTCTTTATACATAACTAAATAACACGAATAAAAAGATGTACAGTAATATGCTGTAATCATTTTGGACACTAAAATCCTTTGTACTTACTAGATAATTAACGTTAATAAACAAGAAGCAAAGTATGAAATATTCACGAACGTAAATAGCTTATTTAAACGATCGATCAAAGTTATATTTTTGTTGAATTCAACACGACAAAAATTCTCAAAGTAAAAGTCAAAACGAAAGTCAAAGAGAAGGTCAAAGTCAAAACGGAGGTTAAAGAGAAGGTCAAAGTCAAAACGAAAGTCAAAGCGAAAGTCATAGTGAAAACTAAAAAATGAATGTTAAAGTGAAAGTCAAATCAATGGAGTGTCAAAGTAAAAGTCAAAGTCAAAATGAAAATTAAAATGAAGTCAAAGCGAGAGTCAAAGTGAAAGTCAAAGCGAAAGCAAATCATAGTGAAAATCAAAGTAAAAATTAAAACGAAGTTAAAGCGAAAACCAAGTGAAAATCGAAACAAATGTCAAAATCAAAAATAAAAGTTATAATGTTAAGCATGGTAGATATAACTTTACCGGCTACCATTTTTTCTGCGACACTAGGATACTTTTCTTCTGATTGGCCAATCACTTACAATTGTATTTATACAGTTTAAAGTACTTTTTAAGAATGTAACATTTCACAAGTAAAAAATAACAATAAACACATCGCTATCTTCGAAGAAGTGCCAACAGCAACTATGCAAAATAATTCCGCACCTAGATGTACCTTACCTAGAAGGTGAAATTTCTACGTAGATTGTGACTATAGAACTATATGTAATTACTGAATCGTTAAATACAGCCAAGTTATTTAAAGAAAACTAACAGTACAAACGCTTTTTTTTTTAACAATAGATAAGCGATTTCTAAGCTATGCTAAAGAGGTTTTAAAGCATAAAGAATGTTATACATAAGAATAGAGTTAGTAATAAGAGTGGGTAAAACTTTATATACGTATATATATAGAGATTACTCTAATGAGTCTTATAATAACGAGCTTTGGGTATAATCAACGATAGTTTCTCAACACTATATTAGTTCGCCATAAAAGATTTGATAGGCATTTAAAAAATACATATATAAGCCTATTTTTTTTTCTTTATTCTTATGTTAAAGTGAGAAGCGATAGCGATAGAGAATAATTAAGTTTACGAATATGATATAATTTGATTGGTTGATTGTCACATGTTTCATAATTAGCCAATAATAACGTGTATTCAATTTCATGTAACGACCAATCCCGAGAAAGTTATCCTATATCTTGTAGCTTAGTAGATCGGAAATCGGACAGGCCCTTATTTGTAATAAATTTTGATTTTGGGTCGCTATATGTAAGAATTTTTATTTTGGGCCCTCATCCGTAAACCACCGAATTAAATTGGTCTAGCCTAAAGTTGTGACCCGAAACCCCGAAACTCTAATATATACTATACTGAAAGGCTTAGAAATTTAATTTTAGACTTTAAGGCATAAAGTACATGATAATTAGATTGCATTTCAGAAATGTTTTGGTCACTTTATAGTAAATGTGCATTAGTTATAAACATTCTAATTTGAAGGTTTCGGAAAGGTTTCGAGTTTCGGGTCACAATTCTAGTCTTACTTTGGTATGCAAATATATAAATCTCCACATTTCTTATAATTACCAATTTTTAAATCAAACTTATATAGAACATATAACCTTTATACAAGCACAACTCTATAAGCATTAAATTCTTAGAACAAAGGGAATAATTATAAAGAGGTTTGACTGTAATATTTCTTTACTATTTTGGTAACGGAACCACCTAAAGTTTTTATTAATCGTTTAGTTTGACCGGCATTAAAACAATTCCGGTCCACGACCAACATAATTCTTCTCGGAACTATGGTTCAAATCCCTATATTTTGGTGTAGCTAGTTCTCTCATATAATTCATCTTACCCAGTATCCGCCGTCAAAATTTTCACTTTCACGTGACAGCGTTTAAAAATCTTTAAATTCGTTTAAGTTAGGGTTAGCGTTTATAATAGGGCTAGCTTTTAGAAAGGTAATAGTAAAATCACTCGAGGAATTTTTTTTGTTAGAGCGCAAAACGTGGTTTTCTTATGCAAGTTTTTGAGAAATATGCGATTTTTGAAAAGCGAACGTTTTATTTTGATCTTCCTGATTGTATAACGTTACATTAAAATGAAACTCGTTATTGGATTATCATCACGTGAAAGTGAAAATTTGACGGCGATCCTGGGAAGTTGCACGTATGAAATGAGCTGCCCGTATATGTACCAATCGGATTTTTTTGAATGATCGTCGCCAATAAGATCATTAGATCAGGTGTAGCGTGAAAATCACGCTTTTTTAAAAAACAGACGATAACTAAAATTTGACTATGAAACCACTTTCTGCGCTCTAATAAAAAAAATTCCACGTGAAATTTTGGTATAGAACATGCATATTGTAATCCCTATACCAACCCTAACATGAGATTTTAGTACTTTAAAATATTACGCATATTAAAGTTGTTTTGATTATTCGAAAGATCTGATTGGTGCATATACGACGATCTTTCATGGTCTTACTGGGGTAGCTTATGTGTGCCAGGTTATGCAAGTTGTCGATCATAGACCATCAATTAACCTGACGCTCATTCCTAGCAGCCAATAATATTTGTTTTATAATTGTGCAAAATATTTGAATTTAATATTTCAACAAGCATTTATTTGCTTCAGTTTTATGAAATAAGATTATACTAGCAGAAACTTTAATAAAGTTGGCCCAAGTTAAACACACAAATAATAATAGTAATAATTAACATGTAAGTAATAATACATACTTTTTAGTCTTTGCAAATTATATCCAAATCTCAAAGCTTTAAATTTTTTATATATTTTTTTGTTAAGATTACATGTTTTTAAGAACTAGCCTTCTGGTCTCTTTATATTATTTCAATTATCATATGCTTCTTTTCTGTTGTAGCAAAATAACAAAATATAATAGATCAAGAAACATAAGTAAAAAATAAATTGAGTAAATCTACTAAAAGAATATATAAAATAATAAATATAGTAGTGATAACATAAATATAATAGCATCTAAATAATTAAATTTAAAAGTAAATACTGTATTACTTATTAACAAAATGCTAATTAAAAATTATTATTTAATTCTAATATAATGCTATGCATCTCAGATTAATGCATACTCTTTATATATAGCAAATTGATATATACTAAAATTTACAAATTATATTAATACAATATTGTATATTATTCACTATAAGTATTTCTTAAATTTTAACAAAAATTTATATACTTTAAAAATTATCTAATAAATTTATATATTATAATTATATTTTTTTTGGTATTAAGATAAGGCTTTG